ATCGAGACAACAAACCTCTGGAATTCCCGAAATAATTCACTGAATTGCGTATTCTTAGACAGACTCATGTTGCTGTCATTTAGCGCACACGGATAATTATTTTTAGATGATCGAAAATCTTTTCGCTGTACATTGTGCCTACTTGACGCCAAAAAATAGATACTCGAATATGAAAAAATGAATAAATATAAGGTTTTTTCACACTATTTCTCGGAGGCTGAGTCGTTTGTGTAGCGCGTAACCTACAAAACATGTTCTCGTAAATTAAAAAAAACAGTCGAAAATATCTGTGACAAAGGGAAGACGTTTGGTACTTCCTTACTTCAAACTACGAATTGGTTGTATGTTCATCTGTGTCGATCGCATCATTGGTCAAATAATTCAAGGCCCTCAAAAATGATATAAATTAAAACGAATCAAATAAATGGACAAACCCCGACGAACGCTGGATTATCAGAGAGCATGGCTTTATTTTCATTGATTATCTCGCTTGCCCTAAGCAAGTTATTTATACTACCGATGAAAAGACCACCCAAATAAATCAATACTGATTCGTATGCTTTGACTTTCGGTTTTAGTAAATGCCTGCTCTGCGAGAAGCATCCCGACATACTTCTTGTGCATGGGTAAGACAACGCTTCTTGTAGACTTATGAATTTTTCCCGTGTGAAATTTGGATAATTTCTTTGCCACTGGTGATCAGGAGGAGCTGCCAGAATTGATGCATTCATTTACCATGTAGTCTGATTGCCTACAGCAATTTAATGAGCCAGACATGCGTTGAAAAATCCTTTTATCTTTACTTTATATCAGCATAGCTCATTGTGTTTGCTGTTTCTTATACGCACACTGTGCGTTCATTCTGACACAAACTGGCGATAATCCATTAAACCTTGAAATTTGCATTAACAGTCTCTGGCAGAGGTGACTGGATGCGATGAATAATGTCATTATTATTTGTGTCAAATTTTGTCCTCTAAAACTGAAAAAATACTAGAATTCCATTATTCATCGTCGGTGATTTAAAGCCAATGAATTTCGTCGACAGAAAAATGCGGAAGCGATCCGCACGAAGATGACAGTACGTTAAAAATAACCAACATACAATGGATAAAATCTTTTGAATATTGTATTCTTGAATCCGACTATCCACCTTCAGTAACTGGTTTAATTTGCCGGCCGTCGCCTGTAAGCGTTTCGCTAGATGACGCATTGAGATATCTTCAGGCGTAACTTAATTTCTTTTTCTTTACAAATCACAGTTTTTATTGGTCATGTTCCATCTGATCAAAAATAATCTTACGCTCGATACAATAGATAATAGGTGTGCATGACATCTACTCCATCAAACTAAACGCACAAATCCAGCGAGCATGGAATTCTTCACTCCGAAAAACTTGAATTTTCCGACCATTTTCCCTCTTAGGCTGGTACAAACCCTCTAATCAATTTAATAGGGACTTCAATGAGGGCGGTGATGCATGATATTTTTGCGTAGGGTCATCTTAGTTGTACGGTCACTCTAAAGGCATTCCCTATGATAGCTTTCGCGATTTTGAAACCGTCATTATTTCGGTAAAGACTTGATTCAAAACGTACTTTGCAGTTTCAGAGGTGCGCAAGGTTGAGCTTTGTCGCGGTATGTTTGGAATTATCGTTTACACGGTATTATTGATTACCGTATTTTAAAGTATATATTATGTATCCGTTATGCACTCAAGGTGCAAACACTAGTTCTTTGCCAAACTGCTAAGTGTTAAAGACAAAATGATTATTTTTATTAACCCACGTAATACATGTTTGACCAGATCAGTGCAACACTGAAGAGAGGAATCGTTGCATAGGTGGGTTGAATCTTCTGAAACTTATACGATTGATGTATAAAGGAGCGAACTATATACCTCCGCTGCCCAGAAGGATTTTACCTAACAAGAGGATGTTAATTTTGAGATATTGCATTGTTCAGCTCTAACTATTGACGTAAATGTATGTTTCTCAGTAATCCTGTTAAATTCACAGAGAATAGCCATCTAATCTTCCTTCTGCGCTTTTAGGCTGTAGATATGCAGCACCAGTATCAAGTTATAACATATTGCGCAAAATAAAATCCAAATGACATAATTGAAGTCAGAGTTAACCGTTTGTTTTTTGAAACGTCTCTAGAGTATTACTGGGACAACGAAAACAAGAGAAGTAGGTTTTGTAGACGAGTATCGGCTTGTTGCTTTTAGTGTGCATTTTATCTGGCGGACAAAAAATGAACTTTGGGACAACTTATAGTTTGCCCCTGAAATACAAACCAGTTTAACATTTAAATTTCCGTGTAAATAATTGTTCAAGCCTATCTAAGGATTTTCTCAAACCATGCAACTCCGAAGTTTATTCTTTTGTGTAGATGCTGATGTGTTCAAACAAATGACCAGGCAACTCTGTTTATTTTAGTGGTATTCATCTCAGTGTCGACGTCCAAACATACTACAAATGGTTGTGTTACTCTTTGCTCAACTTCGTGTCAAAATCAAAAGAGAAAATCTTTCATTATGGTGATGCCAATTAGAACGAATGCTTGCAGAGATTTCACCTTAAGCCTTTGGTTTGTAACGTGTAATTATATTTGTTGCCACTTGTTAGTTTTACGGCTTATATCAGTACCGCCGTCAAGTTTCAAAAACATCATCATTGCAAAGAAGCCTTTTGCTTCAACTTTTGGTTGTATTTCATCTATACATTGTCAGGTTTATTGGCGAAAAGTTTGTTCCTGTATTATAAGTACGTATAACAGTTAACACGTTGTCCAAATTTTGAATTTCAACGCTCTTTCGCAGTCAAATGCTGGAAGGATGCTCTCATACGCTGCATTAGTAAGTTTCTGCAGTAGGCACTAATGCATCCAACAAGTTGAACACGTAGTGCTGTACAAAATCCCCAGGTGTAGCATACAACGTCACTTGCATCACTTCCGGAGAAAATCCAGTAGCACATTTTACGAACTAATTTATAATTCTTTAAAACAAGAGACAACCTGTTTGGTTTGACAAGTATAAATTCAGTTCACTTCAAATACAGTTCCATGTGGTGACGAGATTGGTTGTATAGGTGAGTTTCCGTTAGGATAGTTTCTACATTACTAATCAATACCAAGTTACGCTTATTTTTACCAGTACACTGAGGAGGAACAAGCAAGAATGCTCCATTGCGGTTGATGATATATTCTTAGAACAACTTCGATTGTCAAACTCGCAGCTCATATCCGGTTCAGTCGTTATAATTGAAAAATTATCTCGTAGATGCAAAACTAGCATTTGAGTGTCCACGCTTAGATTTTCAGTCTGTCAGTCTGCGACAGCTTGTGGACATATTGGATAGCCAAATTTGCTGCACGAGCGGTCCTAAAAAATGCACGTTTTACCTAAGTACAAAGTTTCGGCTAATCGTAGCCCCAGAGATCTTGGTGTTTTAGAGCGTTGTCATAACTACCACGGGCAATATGGTTGTTGTTTTATTTTTGTGAAACCTGGAACTTCAAAATATATGTTAATCGCGGACACCAGGACATTCTCCGTAGCCAACATGCTTGTTCACCATTGTTTTGCAAACTTGGCGATTCAAATGAACATCGTGCTATATGATCCGTCTAGTGTTTGGGTTTCGCGTTGATGCCCAAACCGTGCGCGACCTTTTGAGGCATGCAGTAACATAGACAGTGAAATCCGTCAATGCAGGGCGGAAAAGCAGCACTGTCACTGTGATATGGGTAGAACTACATACGACATAACGTTTGCATTGATGATAATGGTTTCCAAGGTTTCATGTCAAAGAATTCAAGAAAAGATCCTAAAGTGCTTCGAAAAAGATGAATGAGCATTATGACTTAAGTAGACGCATTAATATATTGTTTTAAAATGAACGTCCCGTGTGCGTGCCTCCCAACTTTCTACGAAAATTACCGTCTTTCATGACCTAATCTGAGTTTAGCTTGACTCCTCGCACATTGAAATGAACCAACAGGATTACTCAGAAAATTTAAATGTTCTTAAACCTAGGATGCACATTCGTGCTCTGTCTTGATTGATGTTTAGAAGTATGCAAAGAGCTCCATACTCCACCAAGTAAGTCTCAGTTATCAACTATTTTACTTAAACATGTTTTTTGTTCGTGCACTCGGAGCTTGTGTGTTCAGGTTGAGGATAAACTCCAAATCTTCTACTAAAACAAGACAATATACTGCTGTAATTTTCGCACTTTAGGGACCATAGTCTAGTGTCATAGAAACTTATGCAGATATACTCCTAACTGTTGTTCTTCACGAAGATGGGTGCTTTCAAATCTGCCTCCATACCACACCGACAAGCATTATGACATTCGCAACCCACTGATGTTAATTGTGCGCGCTTATCACAGAAGTCTTCGAAGTTGATATTAAGTACTCACACTGAACATAAGAAACAGTGTTAGATATTAATGGGCCAAAACCAGCAAATTTTCTGGTGACAAACAATTTTGCTAAATTTATCGGAGTTGTAATAAAAAACCTTATCAGTTTGGAATTGACCACCTTGAATGAACATTCAGGGTATTTTTTCAGGTGAGCTAAGCATAAATGACGATCTTCACACAACACGCCATCCTGTACTTTTATTACGACAACTGGATTTGGCGGGAGATATAAAGCGCAGCGGGAACATTATATGAAAATGTATTCGAAATTTAAAATAAACAACACACGAGGCAGTCCCACCAAGCGACTGTGTGCGCGATATGTAAAGACAAAGCACCATGCGGTCAGAAATATCGCTAATGTGCTAATTGCCTATTAAGTTGGGGGTTGGCTTAGTGCATAACAATCGAGTGGCGGAAACTTCTGCTAGATTAAGCATACAAGAAGGTTTTGATGCATAGATTTTCGCTTGTATGCAGTACTAAGATTACCAATAGATGGCTGAAGCACGTGCAGATAATAAAGGTAACAGGGTTTTGGGAGAATTCTGACATACACTTACCTTTCCCTGCTGGCTTTGCTATTTCCACGTGTTCGTTGCCTTTGCCCAAATTCGAATCTCCAACTGAAGAGCCAAAACAAAACTAATTTCTATAATCTGTCTGGCGCGTTTGTTCCAGAAACAATAACGTTTTTTCCCAAAAATCTCCAAGCTTTCATACCAAACACTTGTAAAAAATTTATTAGTTTAATTTGAGTGCAGCTTTTTCAATGTTGAAAGTATGGTGCAATAAACTAGGTAAAGGGAGCACCCTCTACGATGTTCCGTAGCACGTCAGGCACACCGGATAAAATAATTCATGTGACGGCCTAAGTCTTCCATCGAACATAGCAGTTTCGGTGTGATCATACTGCATATCTCAGTGCAAATTACGAGGTATGCAGGAGATCTACGTCCTCGATATTGAGTTATTTCGAATCAAATCGGTTGAAGTGCACAGCGAGTTGTCCGAATTTCGACAGTGCATTGTAATTAAATTTTGTGCTCGCAAATTTTATACAGATTCACCCTTCCCCGATGTAGTTGCAGGGGGTTCTAGCTAAAAATAATTTAAATAAGACGCCTTTTGTTTTACACATCAAGACAACCATATTTCTCAGGAAAGCAAATGTTACTGTGTAGCAGAAACCAGAAAATACGCTGGCACTGTACACCCTACAACTCTTTGCTAGATGTTTCAATATAATTTGTTGTAAAAAATCGATATCTCGCAATGAAGACAAATCAATATAGCCCTGCATGATAATGCCTTATTGTCAATGCAGTATCGTGATCAAATTTTGTCCAGCTGGGTTGGAAGGGGATTAGGTAACTCCAGCCTAAGATGCCCGTTAATTTTCATGAATATATGGACAATGAAACGCGTAAGCGGCTCGCAGGAACATACACGCACCCTACTTCAAATCTAGCAGTTGCGTTATGAAGGCGCAAAAACTGCACGTCCCCGTAGCAACACTTTTGTGGCAGTTACATATTACACCATACGCATACATAAAACACAGACAAAAAAACGAATCTTTGAACGGGATTTCCCTCGCATGTTCCAAATAAATGGTGTTGCTGGCAAATGCATGCCCTCAGCAAAATACTTATTTTTATGGTTTCCAAATATTTCGCGTTACCAATATTTTGGAATTAGAACCAACCCGCTGACCATAATGTAGGGTGCTGAAGGATAAAAAACTGTTATATTTTGTGATGGGACAGTGAGTTGCTAACAACTTTTGAAAGAGATTACGGTTCAGAAAATATTTCTGTTAATTTCGTGATCACTCAATTGGTCCGCAAAATTTGTTAACCTGTGATGTATATCAGAATGCGAATAGCGTATAATGGTAAAAAACGTATCTATTTTACCCCTTCTGCTGAGGCCCATCTGAGGGTTTTAGGTAAATAATCTGTGACGCCACTGACCTAGAGGATACTTATGTACCAATTTTACGGTTATTTAAGTCACTTTATGTATTCATTGGTTGTCAAATTTTGCACGTCTCTGATGTTTTCAGGTAGGAATCTGTGGTTATTTACAGAACCGAAGAACATTTGATTGCAACTAATGAAGCTTTTATGGTACCATCGTTTTCAGTTGATGTCTAAAAACGCCTCGATTTGTGGCCAAAAACCTTCTCAATTCAATACGCCGTTTAATCCAAAATGTCAGAAGAACACGACTCCTTGGAGCTACTTCGTTGATACTTTATTTTATACTTCTATTTATACGAATTTTCAAAAGACTGATCACAACGGTTGTTAAATTCAAAAATCTGTTTGCTTCAATCATTATCCGGGAATATGTGAATATGGAATATCGCATATAAATGTGACTGCAATGCTTCCACAAATCGCGGTTTTGATAAAATGCAAGTAGAATAATAGTTATAACATCATTGGTTCAGCTTCTTTTACCACGCGAAGAATATCCTGGATTAAGTTGACTATTTGTGTATTGAATAATTGTGTTGAATAATCAGGAAGATTAAGTTATTATTCTGCTGTTGCGATTTCATCTATAAATTGGACAAACTGTTATGAGGCTATCAGCAAGCAAATATAGGATCATACTTGCTGTGGTCATTCTCAGTACCATACCGCAGCCTGTGTGTGCTATGCTCGACTTTTTTATAATTCTTATCTTCGTTTACTTGGAGAATCAGATTCATCCATCTAAGTCTAATTTTTGCCGCGTTCATCAGCATCATCGATTAATCATCTGTGGGACCCGCGTACTTATCATATGCCGGTTGAGGCTACCGCAGTCCCGTCGATCGATCATTTGAAGGAGGCATTGCTCATACAAATATGCGCAAATAAATATCTACTAATTGAAGGGATTTGGAATTCAGCCATTTATTGAAGACAATTGAAATGCGCAAACGCTACTGAGGGTATGGTACTGCTGCTTCGTACTCTTGCAACCGTAGTGTCTAGCGCGCGAGTTTTCCGGGGTTTGTGATTGGTTTCGAAATGAAATACTTGTCCAAGCAGATATTGCGCCAATTTATCTTGCGCAAAAGTGATCGCTAAAAATTCTTTCTCAATGGATAAGTACGTCTGTTTCGCATTAGCCGGAACACGACTGGCATATGTGATAAATCCATTCTTCTGCTTTCGGACTGCACTGATACCGCGATCACTAGCGTCCGCTGCAAAGGTGTAAATCACCCTGAACTTGAGAATTTCGACCGCCAGTTCGTGAACCAACATTCGCGCTTTGATACGCTCAAAAGCCCTCAGGTACCTATCCAGTCACTTCGAATTTCCGATTTCGCTCGACGACGTAACCAAACATGGCAACATTCTAAAGTCCATTCGATTAACGGGGCACCAAGCGCCAGAATGTGAATGGTGTTCCGGACAAACCAAACGGCATCCGTCCAAATTGATATTGTGTGTCCCAACCGCAAATACCGTTTTCGCCCGGTGCTTTCCTTGATAGCCCATTGTCAGTATCCAAAACCCAAGTCAAACAGTGAAATATCAAGAATGCTGAATGGATTCAAAAACCTCTGCAACCGAATCCACAGCTACAAACCGATTCACGGTTAGTTCATTCAGACCCCGGAAATCCACGCAAAACCTGTATTTTCTACTCGCGCTTCTCACAAGCAGAGCTGGGGAACTTTTCTAACTTTTAGTTTCTTCGATTGTGCCATTCTTCATCATCTGTCTGTGGACCTCCTTCTCGACCACGGACCGTCCTGACGGTAACTTACAAGGCAGATATTTTCTGACACAGCTCACTCATGGCTGCGCCCGGGTAGTCTTCATGCCCGATTGCGCCATACCTTGTCGTCAGCTTCCCTGCTTTAGGTCAATCACGGAATCTGTTTCCTTGAGGAAAGCCGTCCCCAAAATTGTCTGTTCTTTGTCTGAGCAAATCAGGAACGCGTGCGGCACGGGCTTGTTGCCAATTCGTATCGGGTTCATTGAAAATCCGCCAATCTTCAGTCGATATCCTCCCACAGCGCGCACTCTCTGTGAACAACCTGGTTCCCTCTTCAGCTGACCGATATGCCTGCTCCAGCATCAGTAAAAAATAACCTCTTCTCCCCATTTATCCCGACAACGGCTTGCATGTTAGCATGTGTCAGTGCGCTTATCGCGACCCACTCAAGAAAACAGGAGTACTCAAAATTTTTATTATGTACAAGTGATCGGGCCGGGGACACTGATTATTCTAGTGGCCATGCATGATGCACTGGCTCGATAAAGCGTGCTTCCGCGATTCCATCCTCACGGCTGCAAGCTGTTTGGCAAGTTGGTCCACTCTGGTCTGCGAATCCTCCATTGTTGAACCATTCCTCTTCGCATGTGGCGGTAACCTGGACAGTGGTGCCTCGGACAGTTCATGGGCCAGACGCATCAGCTCCTCCACATTCAACAGGTCAATTGTTCGCGTCAACCGCAAATGGGCACAAACCTCGGAATGCATGCATTTAACGAATTGTTCGGAAAGCAACTGGTGGCGCGAAACTCAGTCCAGTCCCGGTAAAGCGCGATGCAACAACTGCTTCAAGCCGGCGGTGAATATATTTCGATCCAGGTGCCATCCTGGTTGTCTTGAACCTGGCGGTATGCCTGTGTGTCGAACTCCATGGCAAATCATCCATTCGTGTCGGTGTAGTCTATCTTCCGAAGGTCTCTTCTGGCGTCATTCAGGGCCACCTTCGCCCGGCCCTTGAGTGGGGTAGTCAACGCCGCAAAATTACCCCGATCTTGACCAGTCCAGAAACTTCCGAAACCATCTCAAATTCCTGTATGAAGACTGAAACATCAACATTCTCAATATATTGTGGCCACGAGGTATTCATGCTTATCCTCCTTGGCGTTATTTATTGGAAAATTCCAACTGATCAACTACAGAATAATGGACAGGAAGCAAACCTCTCATCTGCATCGCGTTTACAATACTAAACATCCATCTCCACTTAAACGCGTCTTCATAAACATTCGTGGATATTCGTTGACTGTTGCCTAACTCCAGGCAAACGTTACAAAGCCACCCTACAAAGTCCGCAATAGGTGTTCCCCCGGAGAAACGCCAGACGAATTCACAAGATAATACCTATGTCTTCCTATCAGTAGTATCACCGATACAGCAGCACGCGCAGCACGCGACCGAGCAGGTGCAACATCTAGTGTTACCAGTTCATCAATACACAAAAGATGGACGCCCGTTAAGCGTCTTTCCCATCAACGCTATGAGAGCTAACTGATGGGCATCACAACCTTTTAAGGTCATTGGCTTGTAAAATATCTCGTGGAATTGATGAAGTTTCAAATGCCAGTCGTCATGTTTATATGGCAGTTGTATCGCCATTTCTCTCAGTGTTCGTAACAATTTGTAACAATTTTTATAGATTTTTTCATGACAAGTCACAAGTAGAAAACAAATTCAAAATACCGCAGTTAACCTTGGAGTACTAGTGTCGTGTGATATATAGTTTTGAATAATAAAATTTTAATTGATTATCTCTACTAATCCAAACATCGGAATGCCACAAACCTGGACGGCGGAAGGTATGATCTCGATTCTTCAGATTCATGGATCGGATCGCAACAGTGAATGATGCAAATTGTTCAGTTGAATAGCCAACGAGTTATTATAGAGAAAACCCAGTCACAAAATGGCGACAGCACACGTGTAGATGATACTTTTATGGAATCACATGTGTTCACAAACTCGATCAATATTGGCAGATAAAATTTCTCCATAGGAAGCCAACAACTTTCGTTCAACATTTCGGAGTAAAATTCCTACCACAGTGTGATTATCAAATCGGTATTAAAGTAGAATATTTTCCGCTACCCAAGAGGCATCATTTCAGACTTAGGCAGATTTCTAGGCAATCGCCATTTTTTCGAGCTTTTTGCGCAAGGCTGTGATTACTAGTGCCTGCTGGTAAAGTTATTCCTCAATAGCTTTTATGGTTTTCTAACACCCGCGAAAGTATGGTTTCTGAAAGTTGTAATGACAAAATATTTTCGAAAGCCTTGCGGAACTTGCAGTTGCATTCTATGTCCAGGTGAATCTATGAAGTATGTGCTGCCCATGCATTTGAACAGTGCAAATTATGCACCAAAATAAAGTCTGAAAAACGGTATTCTATTGATTTTTAATGATAACAGATCACCGATGAGTTACACTCGGTGAACACAACGTAAAAGCAATTGTGATGCATGTTTTTATGGTTCACGAAGCGCCGAGCGCTGATTGCGCATATGCTCCAGGTTGGCGACATGTTTCTGGTGGTGGTAATTATGGTTTGCAGTGAAAGTCACAACAAAGGCTGTAAACAAAGTTTGCCATTTTATCTCCGACAAAGTTTATGCGCCATTTCCAGGGGAGCCTCCTGTGCAAACACGATAAGTTACGCGACATTTTTCGTAGAACCTGATTGTTCCAGCCAACGCGTCTTCATCATACATGACGACATTCATTGGTCGAACAAAACCGAAAATGAATAATCTTAGGAGTTTAAAGGCTGGATTTTGTAAGCAATCTTTCAAACGTGAGTATCATTATATGCGTATCCTGAGGCTTTCAATCAAGAGCTTAAGTTGCGCTTTTAGATGCACCGAGAACTCTTGAGCAATTTGGCATAGCGCAGACGGAACATTTAGTTACCGTTGAGCGGTAACAGATAACGGTCTAAGCCGCAACTCACGTTTTGGCTTTTAGGAAAATAATCAATGAAAACACAGTTATCAAAAAGTGCTGGGCAGGTGCCTAAAATGTGTTTTGGTTGATTTTGTTCAAACTTACATCCTTGAGGTTAAATATGTGGTCTTATATTGTCTCGTCTTATCATGATTTGTACGAACTGATTGACGGAAAATGAACGCATATCCTTTTTTTTCGGAAAGGTTATAATAAAGTAGCAATGCAAAAGGCTCCGAAACTGGCGCTCCAGTGGCTATTGAAATCTATCGTCGCGCCTCAATAGTTAAACGTTTGTACACATGGCTAATGACAGTCACCTAAGATTGAAGCATTTGCCTCAAAGACGCTAGTGACAATTACTTTTTCGTATGTATATGAAATAGCGTTTAAGATCTCGGCAATGAGCCTTTGTGAGGCAATCAAATCTAACTGACCGAAAGGGGTGCATTACCGGTGAAATGTGGTTTGGTTTGGAGGCACATGTCATGCACATGCATTAACCAAAGGAGTGCACCACTTTTAATCCGAAGGAAATCTAATTTGCCTATTTTTCCACACCGTATGATCCCTGTTGTAATGGAGCTCTTGTGGATTATCGTGTTATCAGACGCCACAATCTAACTCCTGCTCACTGCATAGAGTGGGCGCTGTTCCACCGCGTGAATCTCAGTGGCACCTAGTGCTTTAAAGTTTTGTTAGAACACCAGGGCAGAAATGGTCTTTGTGAATATTCTCCAGTATGTTTGGAACCTGTTTTTGATGCCCTGTCAAACCGTTGAGCACAGTCCTTACACTCGCCCCCTGAGCTTGGGTGACGCCCAAGAAAAGATGGGGGCGGTGAACGCCACGAAGAAAAGTAGCCCCTAGATGTCGTTTTCTCAAAAAGGTTGTTTCTCTGGGAGCTAACAAAAGCATTTTGTTTCAAGGCACTTTTTACAGCGAATGGGCAGTGTGAATTCATGGAGACAGCTTCCTGTTCCTTATACCATATTTTTTATACAGTCGAGTCTATGATTGATCCAAAGTCCAGCACGATTTATGTAATGTTCTACAAGAAAATATCGAACAGTGTGGTGTTTTGTTGTACACGTGATGAGTTTATCAATTTCGCTTTGGTCTAATGTGGAATCTATGTCTCTGCACACTAAAAAGCTACAAAAGTCCTGCAAAGGTTTATTTCTTTTACATCAAAGGTAAAGAAACAAGAATGCTCGTTTAGTTTCCTAGGGGGAGGATAATAACTGGTTATCTTTCATTTATGTGTTAAGCAAAGTGAAACAGGTCAATTTTCATCACGAGTGTTGGTGCATTTGGGATATGAATGTAGATTCTGGATAGCATTCTACTACGCTATATGGGGTGTTGGTAGATAAACTCTTCTGACAAGCAAACATGCCCGTAGTAAATGGAAATAACCGAAATATCTCACATGGTTAAATGGTCTTGTCACGGCACATTTCTGAAATACAGCATTATAATTAGGTGCACATCCACATTGCCGAAGACGAAACACGCGCTAATTTTTGGGCCCATGTGCGTAGAAGCATCCAAGCTGAGGCTCTTTGATGACTGCTTAATGGAAGTCTCACAGATCTCCGCACAAACGTTTGCGATGCATGACACTAAAATATAATGTGAAGTTAAAACGGGCAATTCGGATATATCCATCTATGAATCCCTTTTTCTGTCATTGAGGCCAATTTGTGGTTGGTATATTGCTTCCGGATTCGCGTAGCCAAACAACATCCGAGTTGTTTCACTAAAATTGGTTGAATTACTAAACAGTCTGAGGACTTTTATTCGGAGTTTTCCCTATCCGATCTGGCGTCACCCGCACTCCGAAGGAAGCGACCAATCTTCCGAAATGTGAATCGACTCCAAAAGAGAGCCATATAATAAAACGGTACATGAGCATTCAAATACTATAGTGGTTGCAACTCTCGAAAAATTGAAGTTTTTGGGATGCAAAGCATAAGCATCGTTTGCACGGGCAAAATTTGTGCATCGTTTATTAGTACTTCCATTAAAATATCATGCCTGAATGCGCATCAAAAATTTATAATTCTTCATTTGGTGGATTGCTCGTCAGAAGCGCAACGTATTGCCCGGAGCGTTCGTGAAATCCATGTTCAAACTAAACGAATCAGTAAAGTTTCGAGAAACAATCATTATTTCATGCTATTCGGAAATGTGCCACAGCACAGTCATATTTATCGAGCATATACGTTGGCACAAAATTGAAAGAACGGTCCGTGACCTAGCTCAGCGTAAATGCTACTGACAAAAATTTATCTAAGCAATTTCGATCGGTGTCACCACAACGGGCTACATTTTGTAATAATCACATATTTGTATAAGTTCAAAGATACTATTTTCACATTAAAATGCCATACGTTTTCCTGAAATCGACCACTGAAGATAACTAAAGCCTCCGTGGCAGTTCAGGATTCCATAGATAACTGTGTGTGGTTCATCATTTATGCAGTGGTGGACCCAACGAAACTCACCAATGCAGCGATTGAGAGCCAGTTTACAGCAGTTTACCGCGTAAAATGAAGAGGTACAAAAAGTACAGATTGAACAAACCAACCGACCGATAAATAATCCAAATGAACATGTACTTTTGCAGGTTGGATTTCCGAGTCCAACTCCCGCCGGATTTTCTGATTCAAATGTTGATTACGCGTCCTATACATTAATTTAAGTCACAAAACTATATACACATATATAAAAAATAAATTGTGATTTCGAAAATTTGTCTGCATACATCTGATCAATGGTAATAGCGGAATAGGGACCAAGAAAATATGTACCATTGTCATCAGTAAAAAATTACAGTCACCGAGATCACCAACTTATCGCGACACACATCTATTTGGTCTAGTTCCGCAACTGTAATGCGAAATATGATTTAGAGAATGTCTGTATGATTGTGAAAGCGTCCTCAGTTGTACGCAGGACGGTTGTGTATGGGTATTCCCCATACATTTCAACCGTAAGTGCACTACAGGTTTCCTTACTCACACTGCCGACTTTTGTTTTTTTTAATGCATTTCTAAAATAAATTGCGTCTGTGTTTCAAGGCAAATG